GGACTGCAAATTCAAGGTCAGCATCAGCAACTTAGTGAGGCCCTAAGCAAGTTAGCAAGACCCTGTCTCAAAATAAAAAATTAAAGGGCTAGAGGTGTAGTTCAGTGGCAGAGAACCCCTGGGTTCCATCCCCATTGCTAAAAAAAAAAAAAAATGAGAGAGGAAAAAAAGAAGGGTCTCTATAAAAAAGTAGAACTAGGGCTAGGGCTGGGCTCGGTGGTAGAGTGCTTGCCTAGCTTGCATGAGGCCCTGGGTTCGATCCCCAGCACCACATAAAAAACCAAATAAACAAAATAAAGGTATTGTATCCATCTACAACTAAAATATTTTTTTAAAAAAAAAAGGACCACTAGCCAGGAGCGGTGGAGCACGCCTATTATCCCAGCGGCTAGGGAGGCTGAGGCAGGAGGATGGCGAGTTCAAAGCCAGCCTCAGCAACGGTGAGGCACTAAGCAGCTCAGTGAGGCCCTGTCTCTAAATAAAATACAGAATAGGGCTGGGGATGGGGCTCAGGGGTTCAGTGCCCCTGGTTTCAATCCCTGGTACCAAAAATAAAGAAATAAAAAGTACAACCAATGTGAACTTTTCAGAGAGCGATTCATGTAGTGGCCACTTGCAGCTGGAACTGTGGTTGACCTTCTCACTGTTGCAGGTGTGACAAAAGAACCTCCAGTGTCACCACATACACGTACCCCCTTAGCCTTCCTGAGAAGAGGAACTCAGAGCACCAGCACCGCCTCGGCCGGCAACAGAGCTCCTTCACCTGGCCATGACGCAGGTCCCCAGAGCCTCAGCAGTCCCTGAGCCACATGTCCCCAGGATGCCACAAGTCAGAGCCACTTCTTGCCTGAGCAGAAATGGGTCATCAAAGTGGAAATGCAGGAATCTGGAGTTAGCTAAGTCATGAGAAGGATAAATTCTAATTCTGGGGTGCTACAGACTGAATACTTGTGTCCCCCAAATATTCACTGCTGACCAGGCTGGTGTGGCTCAGTGGCATCTCCTGTGCCTGGCACCATCCCAGCAGGCCAAAGACTTCAGGACCGCCTGGTAAGGACTCTGTCCCGTGCAGTGCCAGGCGAGCCAGTCAGCCGAGGCCCTGGTTCCTAAAGCATGGAGAAGCAGGGCACACCTGGGGCCTCAGTGAGTTGCTAACCTCCCCAACTGGCACACCCCAAGCAAGACGACCTCTCTGAGCACAGTCGCAGCCCCAGGAAGAAGATGATATGTGGGTGTGAAATCTATTTACAAACTGAGGCACTTGAGGACCAACATGACTGCCGTCTCCAGGTTTGCCAGAAGAGGGCACAAGCCACCTGTGTGTGGCGGCCACCTGGGAGCCAGTTCCTGGGCAGTGTCTTTCCCAGGGGTAGGGGCAGGGGCAGGGGCAGGGGCAGGCAAGGACCAGAGGTACCATCCCGGAGGCGCACAGGTACCCCAGGCGGATTCCTGGGGCCTCCGCAGGCTGGTCTCACACACATTCCAGGACACACACTGGGCAGCCCAGAGCAGGAAGGGGCTTGTTTGAACCCTAACAAAAGCAGAACACAGAGTCAAGGAGCCAGCGCCAGGGTGACTGGCAGTGCCAACAGTTTAATGACATTCACTCCCTGCCACTCGCCCTGTCTGCACACGGACAAGCAGCTTTCCGAGTGTCCTTAGGCACAAAAGCCAACCTAGCTCACAAAACAGAACATTTGCAATCCAGGGCCAAATAGTGACTGACAGAGTCACCTCAGTCTTTTTCTAATGGTTCCGTGATCCGGGGCCGGGATGCTGGCACTGTCGGCGACGCGCTCTAGCTGCAGCGGTGGTGCACTCCTGGGCCCAGCTCCTCTGCCCATGCTGGGAGAGCTCAGGCCCGGACCACACCTGGCACAAGGTCTGCCAGGTCTGCGAGCAACCGGCCCCACAGCTATGAAGACAGGCCCGTGTGTTCTTGGCTTTGTTCTCGGGTCATTGATTTTTGGCTTCTGAAGTGAACTTTTTTTGCTCAAGGAAGGAGTCCCATGACTGTCATTGGAGACCCACAGACACCAACCGACACTTTCCCCTTCCTAGTCAAGTAGCTTCTCTCCAAGAACCTGTTTTCATGATTTCTTTTATGGTTTGGAAAAGTAAAGAAAATGATTTCAAGTATTCAATTCCTATCAAAAATTGGTATCAAAAGTAATAAAGGACCTAATTTCTTAATAATTTCATGTTTTAAAAAATAACTTAAGAAGCAAGAGGCCCGGCCCTCTGTGTGCAGAAAGCCCATGGTGCAGCTAGAGCTGCTTGAGACAGCGTGGAGAGGAGTCCGTGTTCAGCACCTCGATCATCGACCGCAACGTGGGGAACGTCTCTGACACAGACGGAAGAGCCTTGTAGGAAGGAGAGATGCTGGAAGAGAGACGAGGTCTGAGGGTCTGTACCGCCTCACACACAGGCCAGAGCTCACCTGGCCCTCGTCCCTCCCCTGGGAAAAGCAGGCAGGAGGTGCAGTAGTTACCCCTCCCTGCAGGGGCCCCAGACACCCTGGCAACTCAGAAGTGAAAGGGATCACGTGGGCCTGCACCTCTCCTGCTGTGCTGCAGCTGGACCTGGAAGCTGAGGACACCGCACGCCCCCCACACCCCCGGTGGCTTCTCTATGCCCAACTTCCCCCTCAGCAAAGGCCAGCATGCAGACACTGACCCACAGGGCTAGGTCCTGCTGTCACTGTCCCCTTAGGGGCTGCCAGAAGGCTTGCAAGAAGAACTCCCCCATTGGCCAGCCTTGTGACCACGTGTGAGTTGGCAAACCCCAAACAAGGACTTGGGGCAGGCAGAGGGATGGTGGGCCACAATCCCAGCCGCACACCTCTCTCTTTTAAAGAGCACATATCACCCAGTAGCCATCAGAGGGCTGTTGTGGGCATGAAGGCAAATTTGTAGCTGGTTAAGACGTGAAAGCAGGCCTGCTCCTTGTGCTCGCCATGGAAGCAGCAGAGTCTGACCCCGGGCTCCTCCCCAGGGCCCTGGAGGTGGGTGAGAGCTGGGCAGTGGGTCTGCGGATTCCTGGCACGAAGCACCACTGGCTTATTCCTGCCCATGTCACCACGACGTGCCACACATGCAGCGACCAGGCTCTGTGCCAGCACCAGCAGGGAGTCAGGCTTTGACCGTGAGCAGGCCCCTTTCCAGGGCAAGTGGCCCCAGCAGCGGAGGCTGGGAGTGCAACTCTGACCCACCTGCTTTTCTCACCTACCACCTTCCTCACCTTCATCTCTAGCCCCCCTGCAGGACAACCCTGAACCCACACAAGCACCCGGGACCCACAGTGTCCACGCGGGCTGGGCCTCCGTCCCCCTCTGCAGGGAATTACCTTTTCAAGTTCATCCAGCTTTTGGCTATTCTGCTAAAGGCCTCTGAGCCAGGAGCTGTCATAGCTTCAAAGTCGACCAACTGAAAAAGGGAGAGACGAGGGGTGGCAGTGAGACGGGGTGGCAGCCAGGCCCCACCCAGCAGGCCCCCAGTGGCACTCACGCACCTTCCCCTTGGGGATCTTCCCGGCCACCTCCTTCCCACTTGCCATGAGCGCGCCCACAATGACCGAGTAGGCGATGACACTGTAAGGAGAACAACTATCAGGTGGCAGGACCGTCACCAGGCCTCACACGCTTGCCACCACACAAGGCGGGACATCCACCACTTAGTCACACAGCAAGGCTTATACTTGTTTAAAAAATTGAGTCGTTTACTACTAAAAATCGACTGATCTGCTATTTTAGGGTAAAGTCACTGAGTACGTTCTTTCTGAGAAAAGTACTTTTATGGGTTTTCTTCCCATTTTCTACTGCTGTGAAATAGTAAGTTTAAAATGGCACTAAGACACACGTACAGCAAGTTTTATAAAAACAAATGCACTAATCATATTTTTTAAGCATTAAAAATGTTGGCCCCCAAAGAACAGACAACTAACAGGCAGTGGTCTGGAAATCAGGGGTATGTGAGCTGCCGGGGACAAGGAGGCCACAGGAGACTGAGCGTGGCCCTGGGGCCCTTGCCTGCTTGCTCGGGTCCCATGAGCAGAGTCTGCCGCCTGGTCTCCCTGGACAGGTCCAGGGCAGCAGGTGTTTGGAAGTGGCCCTGCTCCCATTCTTGGCAGGAGGAATGGGGTGGCTGCGGTGCTGGATGGAGGAGACTTGGCACTGAGACCATGGTCCTGTGCTTCTTCCCAGACTAACGGCTCCAGAGGGAGCATGGCCAAGTGGCCAGCAGGCGGGGCAGAACGCTGGGCCAGTGGCAGACACAGGAAAGCCAACCCACCTACGGTTGTCCACCAGAAGACTTCATAGAGGCGGCTGACATGAGCTGCAGCTTCTGGGCCCAGGTAGGGAGAGGAACAGAGGAGGAGGAGGAAGATGGTAGAGGGCTGGGGTGGACACACAGGGGTAGAGAGAGAACTGAAGGAGGGAGCCGCCTGGAAGGCCTGCAGAACCAGAGGCACTCAGCTTGCAAGACCTGGATGCTGGAGGGGAGAGCGGTGCTAGTGGGAGAGGCTGAGGACCCACCAGCAGCAGTGTCAGAGGGGAAGCCAGGGGCTCCAGCAGGGCAGGTGGAGTAAGGGACATGGCTGCACACCTTCAGTGCACACGTGGGCCAGCAGAGCAGCCGGGAGGACAGAGGACAAGTGCCGTCCTCTGCAGGGAGCCTGCAGTGGCCAACAGTCGGTCTGCATGGGCTCAACGCCAACTCACTCAGTGTATAGGGCCAGCAAGCGTCACCCCGAAAACAGGACACTTATGCTCCTGTTTTGTTTCAAAGCCTTGTAAATACCATCACAAAACTTACTATCTTTCCAAAACGTGAAAGACATTCAAGTGCATTTCAGCCAAAATACCTTAAGTTCAAATATGGGCAATGTGCCACCTAATCATGCGGCACCGTGTCCTGGGAAAGGAGAAGGGAAGCAAGCGCTGCAGACACACCCTTATCTAATACCTGGCAAGAATCTACCCCACGGAGGGCCAGTAAGGAAGGACTGGCAACCCAAAGTAGAGCACTTCAAGGTTAAAGGGCCACTAATGGCCAAAGAGCGGAGGAAAGGCAGGGGCAGGGGAGGGGCTGTGAACTCTGGAGCTGAAGCACAGGGCACAGCACAGCCGTGGGCCTCCAGCAAGAGTGGCAGACTACACACGCCACATTAGATCCCTTTCACAACGCTCTGGATGACATGAAGATTAAGGAAGACATTTTTGTGGGTGTGAATTCAGAGAAAACAAACAGGAGGCTGCTCAGCATTTCTCAGATGCTTTTGCACCTGTGTCCGGGACAAGAGCCAGCCAGAATGCACTTTTAAATGAGAAAGCTGTAATCATCAGACATCACTTACCTAGATCCCCGAGAGAGAGGCATTAAATTGTAGAAGTAATAAACCAAGGATAAGATCAAGTTGCAGACAGCATCAGCCTCCTGGAAAAGGACACAGGCTCGTGAACTGAAGGCCAGCCCGACCGACACTCCGCAGGCGTGAGGGCTGCCGAATCAGGAAAGGTGGTCCACGGTCCTCCTCTAAGATCTGCCCTCAGTCCTCCAGCAAGAAGGTGAGTACACCCTCTGCCTGGAGCACCGGGTCCCCAGGTGTTCCTCCCACAGCAGCCTTATTTTTTTTAAATATATTTTAGATGTAGATGGACACAATAACTTTATTTATCTTTAAGTGGTGTTGAGGATGGAACCCAGGGCCTCACACATGCTAGGCAAGCACTATACCACTGAGCCACAACCCCAGCCCCCACAGCAGACTGTGACAAACAGAAACCTCAGCTCCTTTAATGCTATTTGGAACGTCAAGACACATACCACAGTTAGGATTTTAAAAGCACTTAGCAACACCTCATATGTTTTCTTGCTTGTTCTTTGCCATGCTGGGGCTCTGACTTGGGCTTTGTGCATTCGAGGCTAGCACTGAGCGACGCCCAGCCCTTAACATGCTTTCTCAAACAACATGTCTTCCTGCTCCAAAGGGTGCTTAGCGAGATGCCTCTTTCCTCTGCATTGAAACCCAAGTGATAAAAACCTTCGTCCTGTGCTTGGACTTCAATGCTTCATGGATGAAGAAAGAACTGGTTAAATGTCAGAGAAATGAGCGACTGCTCAAGCTCAGAGGTGCCCACTGCACGGGGGTAGCTCACCAAGCAGACAAGCGAGGTCCCACCTGCACAGGGCCACCTCTAGTCTGGGCAGGCAACCAAGGGAAGAGGCCCCGCCAAACAGGGCCCTAGGCTCGAAGTGAGCAACTTCAATGTGATTTCACTGCCTAATCCAGTGAGAACACATCGTGTGTTCAAATCCACAAGTTCACTGTGAGTACTGGGAGGGGAGGGAAGAGGAGGCCCAGATTCACACTGTGACCTGCCAATTCACCACCCAGTTACTGCAACTGCTAAACATGGGACAGGTTCTGCCTCGAGGAATCTCTAAAAAGAGGTATTTATACATGTTTGTAGATGTTCAAGCACAAGACGTACCACCTCAACAAAAGGTGGAGGTTTTTAAACATTTGTGAAAAAGCTGGAAATGGCACAGAGACCTACCCCAAATTCTGAGGAGAGGATCAGCACTTTTCCTCTTGCCGTCAGGTCTTTATACAGGGCGTCTATCTCAGCGTGATATAGCTGGGTCCTTTCTTCTGTGGTTTGAGTTTCCACAGAAAATAGGATATTTCCAACTCTGAAAACACAACCAGGAGAGTCAAAGGCATGTATCTACCACCCAGTCCACACAGCCAAACAAAGAAAGGAAGGAAGAAGGAAGGAAAGAAGGAAAAAAAGAAAAAAGCTGAGAGAGAAGGAAGAGGGAGGAAGGAAGCCCGCCCATGGCTGAGCCGCTCCTACTCAGCCCAGCGGCTCCTCACGACGCCGGCCATGGTCTGACACTGGCTTACACTGAAAGAAGCCATGGCTTGTGGCTCCCATTAATCCAACCACACATCCCTGTCCCAGGAGCTAAGCCGCTGAGGGCCCACCAGGACAGTGCTGAAGAACAGCACAGTGCGTGGGCTGACAGCAGTGACTTCCTCAGGAGCTTTACCAGGCACTGGGCCCTGAGTGCCGGAGCCCAGTAGAGATCCTGCACCTGAGGAGCTGCCACTCGAGGCCATACCAGACAGGCTCCTTCTCAGGCCCACACAGAGAAGCACAGGTGCTGCTGCTATTGAAGGGACGGAGAGGAGATCCCAGGAGACCAGGCTCATGGCCCAAACACAGCTGTCAGAGGGTCAAAAGCCAGGAAGGTCTCCTGGAGATGTGGCCTCAACGTGGGCCCTGGACAGGAGGAAGGCGAGGACACAGGAGGTGGGGGCAAGTGTGTGCGGTGGGGGCAAGTGTGTGTGGTGGGGGCGGGGCAGGACGGCCAGGTTCTGGCAGGACAGGGTCTACGCAGGGCCGAAAGCACTATCTGAGGCCACCAATGACAAGCCGGGAACTGGAGCTGGTGCTGGTAGCGAAAGGCAAGGGCAGGGTGTGTGGGGAAGGGCTCTTAGCAGGGGACACCCAGGGAAAGGACTTCGTAAAGGCTGTGAAGCCCTGGTGAAGCAGCAGCTGGATCTGGAGACCAGCCTCAAGTCAGCCCGAGGGCAAGGGAGGAAGTGGGTGGAAGGCAGCTGGGGAAGGGATGCCATGTGTCTTTGTCCAGTCGTCCCACTTCTGCCTGGGACTGGACCCCAGGACACAGACCCTTAGTGTGTGAAGGAAAAAGAAACAGCCTTTATATCAAACAGCATTCCCTGGAATTCCACTGGCGGAATCATCTTTCCTGGGAAAGTATTTGGCATAGAGTTGAAGACCTCAACAACAGAGAGAGGCACAGAGTTGGAAGTTGCTAACCAGTGCTCACTCATGAAGGCCTGTTAGTTTCCACATGGAACGCCAGGAGGCTTCGCCAGTGTGAGGACAAATGCTCACGAGAAAGTGAAGCACAGGAGCCAGAGGGGCACCCAGGGCCATGCCACCAGTGGGCAGAAACCCCAGGAGGGCTCCAAGTTCCCACAGGCCTCCTTGGAGGACCCTCAGAGGGAGGCTCGAGGCCTGTCCCCCTGCCCAGTGCCAGGGGTTTGGAAGCTCTGAGATGAGATTTGGATTTCAGATACAAGTAAAATGCAGCTCATGAAAATGCTTACCAGGGCGATTATTCAGCTATAAAGGGAAACACTTTAAACACATATCTGTAGGGGAAACACTGCATCTAAATTCTTACACTATGGTTGCTACAGAAGCTTCTAAGAAAATGACTGGAAGGGCCACGACAGCGGGATGGTGAGAGTGCAGAGGCAGCGGGCCCACCTGGCGCGCTGACTCCATCCCAAGGACACTGACCTCATTTTTACCTTGTTGACTCTGCTTATCTGCATCTTCTGAATGTTCTACAATAAGACACTACTCCTGCAATGCACTAAAGCCTATGTACTTAAAGAAAGCCCCTCGGTGTCTTCAGCCTGCCACCCGTTCGCCTGCTTTCTCTCTCTGGTCAAAGCCTTCCCTCGCCACACACTCGGCCTCACACAGGGTGGCCAGAGGCTGCTGGTCTCAGGTGACAGCCTCTGAAGTCTGCTGCTGCAAGCTGGGCCCTGCTGCTGTTCCTTCCTAGACCAGCCCCATGTCACGCCCTGCATGTGTGCACCCACCCCAGTGAACGTACTTGTCTCCGGTGACTGTGATGGTGAACCCGTCATGCTCCTTCCCTTGGTCCCGGAGGCTGGGAACTTTCGTGTTTACAGTGAACCCATCCTTTGTTTTGGTATTAAACTGCTTTCAGGGGGGAAAAGAAAATCACCGTTACTAGTGTCTACCCCACCGAGAACCCCAGCTGCGGTTCTGCAGTGCTGACCCAGACTGCCCGAGTGTGTTCACGGGGTCCAGGAAGTCACCGGATGTAGGAGGCAGAGTGCTCTGTCCTGTCACACAGGAACGAGCACACCTCTCCAGTCCTCAGACCCAACATAAGCCCCGCAAGCCTAAGTCCACTCCCCAAGACCAGCCAGGGTGGGCCTCCTCTAGGAGCTGCCTCTGACTCCCCCATCCCATGTGGCAGGCAGCAACCAGACCCCACAGACAGCTGCTTTCACACAGGTGCTCCCTGCTCAGAGCTGAGGACCTCGCTGGCACGCCGGGGTCCCCTCTCACCTGTGGGTCCCACCACAGGCACGCTCGCGCCACCTCTGCAGAGGCTAAGGGAACTCCTAGCACTCAGTGAGACGCCACTGTGTGAGGCTGCTCCAGACGCCAGCTGTTTAAACAGCTGTGACAAACCCAAAATCCCGTAGAGATCACTGTTCCAGAAAAACGCCTCCCAAATCTGACTCCTTTATAGGATCTATGTTTTCTTTATATATATATTTAGTTGTACCTTCACTTAATTAGTTTGTTTATTTTATGTGGTGCTGAGGGTAGAACCCAGTGCCTAATGCATGCCAGGGAGCGCTCGTCACTGAGCCCCAGCCCAGGCCGTGGTCCATGTTTTCTCAAGGCTGATGGAAACCAGGAGGAGCGACAGTGTAACAGAGGTGGTGCTGATGACCCCTGGTGGGAGGGGCTGTGCAGCCCAATAGAAGCCCCTTTGTCCAGGAAGGCAGCTCTCAGAAGGCCACCCAGCCTGGGGTACCACGCTTATTCAGGTGCACACCCACGGAGGGCCAGGTGGGAATCCACCTAGCGACTGAGCAGGAAGTGGTGGGTGGCATGAACCCAGGCCCCTGCACTCCTGCTAACCAGCCACCTGCGGCTTCCAGGCTGCTCCTACGTGGCTTCTCATCAACAGCACATCGTGCCCTTTGGAGGCAGCAGGCTTGCTTCATTTTGTCACCTAGATAAAACGCAGACATCTTGCTGCAGATATCCGCCAGTGCTTGTGAAACATGACATGTCCATTCCCTGGCGTCATCATTCCCACCCACAGGACTGGGCGACTTCACACCGAGACCGGTGTGCTGGCCTCTCTTGGGCTCCTGCTGAGGGACGGTCTCACTGTCCAGTCTGCTCTTCTGTCTAAGCCACCCTGCAAGCAGCTTTTCTGCTCTGATACCACAGTAAGCCTCAGTGCCTGATGCCCAGGGGGCAGAGGCAAAGGCTGAGACCCTCCAGTTCCTTCCTCTGACGCGTCCCAGCATTGACACTGACCTGCCCCCTGGGGACACTGGGGGACTGATGGGACACTTAGGCTATTGCAGTGATTGCACCAGGACCATCCCATTGTTCAGGTCACACATACAACTGTGCTGCTGGGCTTCCACATGGAGGGAAAACCTGTCCATGATTCAGTTAAAACTGCGCCTGAAACCAGACTCTGTCTACACCCCACTCTGTTCTTCTAGGGTCCGTGTCTATGCTGGGGGCAGCTGAGGCTCCAGCCCATGGCCGATGCATGCTGGCCAAGTGCTCTGCCCTGAGCGGCATGCCCAGCCCTGAACCACTGTGTGTGTCACGGATCACTATGTGGTCACCTGCTCTTCCAGAGAAAACAAGGACCTCCATATATTTCCACTCCCACCATCTACTTTTAACGCTGAGGTGACCAAACATTTCGACTTCAGGCAACTTTCTATTTT